GAAACAGTGAAGTCTTTTTGTACGTTTTCGATTTCTTGCACTAAATAAACGTGGGAAGGTGACCAAAGCTGAGTACAGTATTCCATCAAGGGTCTAACGTATATGGAGAACAGCCTGAAAAGGATAACGGGGTCTCTTGACTTGAAAGCTTTGAGTATAAAATTTGCTCTTCTCTTGGCCTTCAACACCATAGCATGGATATACGAACTGTAGTCGAAAGCAGCGGTGTATGTAACACCCAGATCTCGAATAGATTCTGGGTACGCAAGTCTGCAACCGTCTAGAGTAAAGTGTACCTTAGGATGCTTTTTTCCGAAGCCCATAACAAAAGTTTTCTCTGTCGGACCTCTTACTCCCACTTCTTACACCAGGCGGATACAAGGCTTCCTGCAGTAGGTCACAGTTGTTGACTGTGAATATTTTGGAGTCGTCCGCATACAATGAGCATTGCACCCCTACAGGCAAACTTCGATAGGTCGTCCACAAAACCAAGAACATAAGTGGACCTAAGCATGATCCCTAGCGACACTTGTTGTCTTATAGATTCGAGACATGGCGCCATTAATTCCTACTACCTGGGAGCGCCCCGTGAGAAAGGACTTGAGAAACTTGTAGAGACAGCCTTGGATACCGTAACCTTGAATCTTGCTCAGTAAGAGTGGTATAGAAATCGAGTCAAAAGCTTTCTTGAAGTCGATATAACACGCAGTGACATAGTTGCCCCTATCTACCTCCCTATGCCATAGGGGAACAGTCGATAGAAGAGCAGAAGCTGTAGACCTTTTGCTGACGAAACCATGTTGTGCCTTGGCTAGCAATTGATTGTGTCGCAGAAACCCTGTTATGGCCTTACAAATAATGCGTTCCATTACCTTACATGTGGAACTGGTGAGACATATAGGGCGGTAATTAGCCACATCAGTCTTGGCCCCTTTCTTGTGTATAGGGCGTACGATCCCGACCTTCCATGCCGCCGGCACAGTCCCATGGAGGAGAAACCTATTAAAGAGTATGACCAGTGGAGCTGTGAGACCAAGGGCTGCCTTTTTGAGGAATATATAAGGAACTTTATCAGGTGATGCAGAATTCTTATGCGGAGGCGGCGCAGAGCACGGTACACAGAGTCGCTGGAAATATCTAACCAGTCCATAAGCTGTTGTGTCACGGGAGGGTACTGAACACCTGTTTTCCTAGGTAGCTTATAGACGGTTTCAAAAAAATCAGCGAATAAATTTGCTTTTTCTT